CCTTCTAAAAGTTGGACCTAAACGTAGATCAAGCTTGAACATTCTTTGTTAGTTCAGCTGAGATAACACTATGCAAATTTACTTGGAACAGTGACAGACGCCACTTTTAGATACACGTCCACATCTTCCACTGGTTTCAATAGTTTTGAGCAAAACTGGGAACAGGGATTTAACCTATATAAAGAAGGACTATGATCTTTTTGATCCCTTGCTATGATGGACCAAATTCTGGTACGATACCAGCTAGTGCAACTTCCACTGGGAGAACTGAGCTTGCTTAATCCAGGACAGTATTTGGCTGAAAACTGGCATACAGAGATTACCATGTGGCTTTTTAGATACCTTGTCCTGTTTTTTTCAATGCTGACTCTAAAGGAAAGTTCCATCAGCTGTTCTCACTGCATTACTGTGCCCATTACTGTGCAGTAACAGTTCTAAAGTTCTGAAGGAGGTGGGTAAATAGAAATTAGTTTTAGTAACCCACAGCAGCCACAGTGGCCAGAGCCTGCTAAAAATAGAACAAGAAAGCATAAAAAATTGGGAGTATTTGTTTTGCAAAGTATTTTGTGGTGATACTGGTACTGGAAAACATTATTCTCCAACTAGGGTAATGAATGCTTTATGATAGCAAGACAAGATACAGTTCCAGATTGAGCTTCCCTAGCCAGTCTATCAGGTACAAGGCAGTACACCTTGGAGATCTCTAACCACTCCAAGACAGATGTCAGTAGAATACCACATCATTTTTTCTTAACAGGCTTTCTCCTTTCCAACACAGAAAGGAATCAAACCAGCAGATTGGAGCCACTTTGAAAACACTTTCAGATCAGGTTATTCTGTTTGATTATAAATGCCCTTACAAATATCAAAATTGGTAAAGAAGCCCAGAGTAAAGCAGAATTCTGGTTTTGTATCTTAAGACATAGAACTTAATCAACAACGCTACTTTCTTTCTTATTATCTTTCCTACATGCAAAAAAATCCTCTAAAAACCTGACAGGAGAGAATCTCATCAGCTGCTTTAAGAGACTGAAATTTGGTATGGAAGAGTGAAGGGGTTTTGTTGCTTTTTTTTTTTTTTTTTT